TGCACGGACAATTGCATAACCTCAGAAAACATGTCTTAGTTTCCTAGGGTGGCCATGACAAATTACTACAAGTTAAAACAACAGAAATGTATTCTCTCCTAGGCCTGAGATCAGAAGTATATCAAGAACAGGAACATCGTCCCTACAAGGCCTCTAAGAGATCATGGCTCCTGATTTGACCAGCTTTGAGCTGTACTTGGTATTCCTTGCCCATGGGAGCACAGCTACAAACTCTTCCTCTGTTTTCACTTGGCCTTCGTTCATGTGTCTCTGAGTCTTCTCTGATTTTATCTCAGTGAACGAATATCCACTCAGTATGATGTCATCTCACTACTAACAGTAATGGTGTCTGCAAAGACTGATTTCCATATAAAATCACATTCACAGAACCAAGGGATGGACTTGGAAAAATTATTTTTGAAGGCACAATTTAATCTATTAGATTTTGGTGTCTGCAATAGCAAAATATCAGAGACTGAGTGGCTTCAACCAAAGCAGTTATACTGGAGGCTGTGAGTCTCCCGAGATGTACCTTCCTCTGAAAAGCAGAAAAGAATAGTTTTGCTCATGAGATCATTGTTTGCTTTCATTATAATGTGTGACAGTTGAGCTAGATTGTCAACTGGATTGGCTTGGGAGCTGCCTAAAGGACTAGCAATGCGCATACCTGGTTGTGTCTGGTTGGGTTACATAGGCATGACCTTGGTGTCTATGTCTGTTCTACACACCTTCCACTCCAGTTCTGTTCCTCTGCTCTCCTTCCTGGTCACAAAGACCTTAGCATCACTGCTATGCCACATCCCTTCACTATGCTATTCCCTCCTTGAAGCCAGTCAGCCATGGACTGAATCCTCTGAAACCATGAGTGAAATAAACTTCCCTTTTAATTTGTAGGTATGGGGTAATTTGTCTCACCAATGGGAAAGCTGACTAATACAGAAAATTGTCTGAGAGCTGAATTGGTTGGGGAATTGGGATCCTCTAGAAGAACAGCTAGTTATGAGGTGAAATTATTAGGTAGAATCGGCTGTAGAAGAGTCCACATTGACCTCATGCACCCTGGAGAGGCAGAGGACGTGATTGCTGCTTAGTCCAAGAAGGTGGAAGCTCGAGAATAAGAGGGTTCAAGGATGCAGTGCCAATATGAGATTAGCAGACCTGGAAGCTCCCCGCAGAAATGCTGCAATGCATTGGAGGGCTGAAGAAAATGGAATCTGACGTCTGTAGGAAACAGCAGCAAATACATGCCTGCTCAATTAGAACAGAGCTTTCAAACAGTCCAGCAGACTTCCTCTTCTTCCCTTTTCATTCTCCCCAGGCTGCCTAACTGAATGGTGACACCCACAATCAGCATGGGTTCTCTCCCTCATGATTTACTGGTCTGCATGCCAAGCATCTCTAGAAACATCCACAACACACCCGAAAATGAGCTTTATGATCTGCTAGAAATTTCTTCATCAAGTCAAGTTGACTTACCAAGATTAATGATTCATGGTCATAAGGGATAACAAGAAATCTGATACTCTTTCCATTTTGTTCAATCATGTTCCTTTCAGTATAAGCTGACAACATTTCTGCTCCTAGGAGCCAGTATCTATTCCTGGCTACTGAAGAAACAAATGCCTAGTTGGATGCAGGAGTCACATCCATGCTGTTCTATTCATCAAGTGATTTTCCAGCCATTCTTCATTCTTTCCACAATATCTCCCCTCTCCTCTCCTCCCCTTCCCTTCTTTGTCTTTTCCTTCCCTCCTTATTCTCCTCCTCCTTTCTCTCTCTCTCTCTCTCTCTCTCTCTCTCTCTCTCTCTCCCTCCCTCTCCCCCCCCCCTCTTTCTCTCTGATTCATTACTAAGAATTTGCCACATATTCGAGTTTGGACTCCTTTTTTCTCAACATTTCCATCTATTTATGTCTGATCCCCGTGTTTTAATAGAATTAGCAAGGAGTAACCAGCCTGACCTCTGGATACTTTGCTAAGAAATGTCCTCAGCTAAACACAAAGTTTTGCTACTTACTGTTTTTACTTTCCATACAACACTAGAGCACAACTGAGGGGATTCTTCATCGTTTTATAAGAAGAATCATCTTTCATATAATTCCTAATAATATGCTCCTTATTTACTTCTAAGCCCTTGAGTTTTCATGTCAATATTCCTACCAACAACCTCTTCCATGCAATCTCATCTTCCTGTCATACACCTCCAAACTTTTCCAACTTTACCGATTTCCGATTCTAAAGACACTTCTACATTTTCACATTCTTGTTATAGAAGCACTCCACTCATCAATTTGATTTGGCTTCCATGACAAAAAGACACAAACGTAAACAGAAGAAATCTGTTGCCTTACCATCCTGGAGATTAAAAATCCAACATTGTGGTGCTGGTGGTTTGTTTCCTCTGAAGCCTCTCCTTGGCTTGCATACGGCTGCCTTCTTTACCCCTTCTTTACAAGGTTGTGCCTCTTTGCACACTTTTCGCCTCTAAGCATTTGTGTATACCTTTCTATGTCTTTCTATGTAATTACACCATTCAGATTGGGTTAGGCCCTATGTGTATAACCTCAATTAAACTTCATTGACTCTTTAAATCCCCTTGGTCCAAATGCAGTCACATCCTGAGACAGTGGGAGCTACAGCCTCAAGTACTAATTGAAGGGGGGGGGTCTCCCGTTTCAGCCTATGAGATTTATGCAAGGTATGCCCACAACAGAGGTAAACTTAAAAGAAAATAATTCTGTATGTTACCGTGGTTATTGAGTGATAACCATTGTTAAAATGATTCCCTCAAATTATCATCAGCAACCCAATGAGTTTGTGCGAGAAGCTCCAATTATTTTGGGAGGAAGAAGTCCCAATGCTTGGATTCCACTGCAGTTCTTCAGAATCACAAGGCCTTATACCTTAGCCTATTGGGCCTTATCTCCAGAGAGACCCCCAGTGGCACTGTGGGTTGCTATAATAAACCTTGCATTCCTGGTATGAAGGAGAGACTCTCCTGCACACACGATAAACTTCTTCATCTTCCGCTGTCACATACTTGTTTAGTGAGTACCAACAATGGGTCAGGCCCTGTTGTCACTGATATACATTCACTGGACACCCAGCTGGTTCAGCAAAATAAGTTATGTGCTCCATGGTAGCTCCTATTACAGAGAGGACAATTGTATGAAATACATACAGAGATCAGTTCAAACACTGTAATAGTGTTTTCAGTTCTTCAAATGATAGCATACAGAATATACTGTAGCTGGAGTACAGGAAAGATAGAGGAGTCACCTCAGCCTGAGTGCTTACAGGGCTTGTGTGAGGAAGACACTTGCATTGACATGTGAGGGAAAAAAAGGAATAATCACAGAGAGACATAAGTGAAAAATTCATATAAAAAGGACCATAAGCACAAAGGTCTTGTGACAGGAATGTCACTCCTTGCTACAGTTCTTTTATTATGTTTAAGTTTATGTGATTACAGCAAGGTGATTGAAGAAGAGTGCAGCTGGCAAGATGGGCTACTTTAAACACAAGGCCATATACTACCTGTGAACAAGAAGCAGTTCAAGAATTTTATGCCAAAGAATGACAAAATCTAAGACATAGTTTTCAAAAGAATCTCAGACAACTGTGTGGAAAATGATGATGACTTCTAGTTCAGGACAATGAGAGCACTTGCCACACCTAATGTCTCCAAACTACTGCAGATGAAACTACACAAAACACAAAACAACTACTGAAAACTCTGTCAAGTAAAGCAAACAGAAAGAATGCAGAGGGTAGTCAAGGTGGAAAATACCAGCTGAGTAGGGGCAAAGTGGCTTTTCATTTTCTTTGCTTGTGTGCTTGACTCCAAAGAGCTGCCCCACCTCAGAGTGCTACTCTCAGCCTTACCACGTCATCCCACATGAAAGGAGTGCAGAAGAGTTTTGAAAAAGTAACAAGAAGCATAAAACTGTCCAAATATCATGAGAGATATAAATTTGAGGATTCAAATAGCTCAGAGATCCTAAAGACTATCACTTAAAGAAAACAATGCAGAAGCACATCCTAATTAGCAATTACAGAATTAAAAGAAAATTATTGGAAGGAACTAGAGAAATAGGACACTGCACTTATAGTAAAGCAATGTTTCAAACAAATAGATTTCTTAGCAGGATCTATAAGAAAACAAAGAGTAGGAAATACTTTATTGTTATGAATGAAAAGAACTGCTCACCCAGAATCCCATATCCCATTGGAAATTTCATCCAGGCATGATCACAATATAAAGGCATTGTTAGATAAAGGACAATTTAGAAAATTGAATTCCAGCAGACTGATGTGAAAAATGAAATACTAAAATAATTCCTTTAAATTGAAGGAAAATTATACCAGAGGGAAACGTAGAGCTTCAGAATAGAAAGGGCAAAATAACAGAAATTATACCCATACAAGTCTATTTTTCTACCTATAAATCTTTAAATTATACATAGTTTTTGACAGCAAAAAATGGTAACATTATTTAGTAGGAGATCTTATGTTGATGTGATACCTTTGATATAATAACATAAATGTCAGTGAGGAAGGATGAAGTTACTGATATGTTTGCAAGACTTCTTTCTTGGAATGGTAAAATAATGACTTTATGTAAAATGTGAAACTAAAATAGATTCATTCAATGTAACCAATAACTTTCTTCTTAAAGGAAGAAGACTCAAACAAAAAATACAGTGACCAGATGGACAGCTTGAACTTCTTCTTCTGAGAAGTTTCTATTCATTTCAGTTATCTTTATTTGGGTGTTTCATTTTGAGGGTGTCTAACTTTTTGAGTTCTTTATATGTCTTAGATATTGGTTCTCTGTTCAAAGTGTAGCAGACAAAAATGTTTTTTCTAATTCTATAGGTTCTGTCTTGAGTTTTTTGGTAGTTTCCTTTGTTGTACATATAAATACATTAAAAAGTTGAACATTGTTGGCTATAAGAGAAATAGAAATTAGAACAACATTGATGTTTTATCTTACTTCAGAAAGAATGACTGTCAACAGGAGCTCAGCCCAGGACAAGTGCTGGCAAAGCTGTGACAAAAAAGAAACTCTCCAGCATTGTTAGTGGGAAGGTAAACTACTGTGACCACTATGGAAATCAGTAAGCAGTTCCTCATAAACTGTATCTAGAAATTCCACTTGACCCACTATTCCCTTACTGGGCATCTTCCCTAAAGAGTTAAAGACTTCATATTACAGTGATACACACACACCCACCTTTATAGCAGCATCATTATAATAGCTAAATCCTGGAAGTGGCCTGTATGTCCATCAACAAATGGGTGGATAAAGAAAATGTGATTTATACACAAATCTACTGCAGAGAGGAATCAATTATTGGTAGGAAAATGAATTCACCTTGAAACCACAATGTTACATTAAACAAATCAGATGCACAAACTTAAATACCACATGGTTTCTCTTATAGAAGAAATCCAAAGTATAAATAAATTAAGGAGCAAAATAAAAGACATTAAAAAGAAAATGGAGGGATAGATCTTTTGCACATGAAAAGGAGACCAAGAGATGAACGGAGAGGAGGGGAAGGTGAGTGGGGCCATAAGAATTAAGTTGTGTTGTCTGCATGTATCAAATACCCATGATGAAAGTAGCCATTATGTATCATAAACATGTACTAATAAAAAGAAAATCCATGAAATTAAAACCACTATACACATTGCAGCATAATTTTTTTATTTTATAACTATAAATCCTTGTCTTGAAATAGTTCAGTTGTATAAAAAAGCAAAGAGCTTACTAAAAAGAAATAGACAACAGAATAAAATTCTGTCTAGCAATGAATTTGAATCCTTAGTTAAATAATATTAGAAAGAAAAACATGAAGTTCACATTGCTTTAATTTGGATTCATGCCAGTTTAGAAAGAAATAATTAAAATTCTTCTAGAACATAAAAAGTGTACACACATTTTAATTTATTTTATAAATTCAGAATTATTCTAACAAGGCTTTAACATTAAAGGATATTACATCAATAGTCCCTATAAAGGTACATGTATCAAAGGAAAGTAGAAGAGAATATTACTAAATCATATAGATATATACAGTGCATAATTATCAAGTAAAATTCATTTTGAGAATGCAGAGATGATCGAGCATGTGAAAATCAATTAATACAGTTCATCATAATAACAGAGCTATACCTCATTTGAAACAAAGAAAATATTTGAAAGTTTTCTAGATTTATTCATCATGTCAATCATTAGCAAGAAGACCAAGAAGAAAACACCAATAACTTGATGTATCATAATGAATGACAGGATAATCCCTACCTAAGTCTCTGAGAAACAAAAATATTTACTTTACATTTCTCTATTTCAATATCGTATTGGAAGTTCTCATACTGGAAGTGCAAAGAGATAATTTATCAATCAATAAGGTATGTTAGTAAAAAAAGAAACAGTATATTCCTACATAAATGATCGCACACAAGAAATAAAAACTTTTGCACTAATAGACATATTTAACAAATGCTTAGTATAAAAGGCCAATACAATAAATTGGCCAATATAAGTAATTGCATTTTACAGACTATTAATAGAGAGCTGAAAATTTAAAAATTAAAATATTCCAATAGTAGCTGTCTTAGCTTCCCATTAGAATGACAAATACATTCCATAAAATAACTTAAAAAGTTGAAAGTTCTTTTTTCTTTTTCCTTTCAGTTTTGGAGATTTTGATCTACAAGCACTTGGCCCATAGTTTGAAGCCTGTGACAGCGCTGTCCACAGGGTAGGAGATCATGGCGGAGGAGGCCCTGTCAGTCCACCAGCGGGGTGAGAAAGAGAAAAAGAGACCAGGGTCCTGCGACTGTTTCCTTGGCCACTTCTCCTGTCGGTGGCACCAACGACCAGTAGCGTCCTGCATCTTTGAAAGGCATTTATGATCCAAACGATAGCAGCAGTTGAAAGCATGAAATACTTAGGAATCCACCTAACAACATACATGTAGAATCTGTGCTTCGGACATTGCAGCACCCTGATGAAAAGAATCAGAGTAGACTTAAATACATGCACTGTCGTTGGTCCACAGATCAGAAAATGCAGTGTAATTAGATTTCAGTTCTCCCAAAATTGATCCTCAGATTTAAACCAAAATTCTTTCTTTTTAAAAAATTGTGGAATGTTTTTATATTTATCAAGAAGCTGATTATAAATTTTATGTAAGAGTCAAAGATTAAAATAACAAAAGTGATATTGAAAAAATTGCAAACTTGAAGGACTCACACTTTTTGATTTCAAGACATCATAAATCTATAGTAATCAAAATAATGCAGAATTACCGAAAGGGTATGTACCTAAATTGTGAAGTAGGGTAGAAAAGAGTTGCTCAACTGATTTTTCTGAAAGATGAAAAAGTGTTAAAAGGCAAAATAACATCTGTTCAATAGGTGATGCTACAATGAATACTAGAAGTATTAAAAGACCCTATTACTCTCTGCTGACAAGTAAAAATTAAAAAGCAAACAGTAAGCCTTGATCTATGTGATGTATCGTTCCCAAAAATGTAACTAAATATTGATCAAGAAGTTCACTGTAAATCTTAAAATTATAAAAATTTTTAGTCTTAAAGAAAATTAAGGTATCTTTAATATGATATGAAAAACTATCTGTAAAAGAAAAATATATATAAAGTAAACTTAAATTTTAAAATTTCTGCTCTGAAAAATCGTGAAGGAAAACATGACAGAAAAATATTTTCAAAACATATCCATCAAAGAACATATATAAAAATAATTTACAAACTCAATAAATAGAAAACAATTCCATTAAAATATAGATAAAATACTTGAACAAATAATTTATCAAAGATTATAAGCACATAAAATATATTTCAACATTGTCTAACAAATCAATACATTACATAATGAAAAAGTTCAACATTATATGCATGCACTTACAGTTATTTTAAATATATAATTATGTATAAATATATAACACATAGATATGGCATATCTTTTAAATATAATGAGAATGTGTATTATTTTTAAGATAACATATATCTTCATTATATTATTTACTACATATTAAAATGATGTTTTAAATATACATACACACATACATATAGCTATCAGTTTAAATGTTTACACTTCTTACAACATTCATATCAAAACTCAGTCCCTAAAGAGGTAATATTTTGTTTTCAAACTCTTAACAGACATAGCAGTGTTTACATGATGTGATCGATGTAGAAATTTGATCCAACAGATAATTCTGTCTTTGTTTTGACTCCTGGGGTCGATTATATCGGTGTTAGGGCAGGGGTGGCAGATTGTCAAAGGGGCCCAGGATTTGTAGCTTGGTGTCATTAGCAGACACCAAGTCAGTGTTAGTCAATATGTAGATTTCAAGTAAAGAAAACATATTCTCATTAAGCAAAACATATACTTAGTTGCTTAGTAACACATATGTATTAACTTTTAATGAATCCTTCTTTCAAATTTCCCTTTTTAATTTCCTCACAAAATTATAGAGTATATAATCTATGCTTGTGTGTGTGTGTGTGTGTGTATGTGTGTGTGTGTGTGTGATGCAGAGGATGGAAAGTGTGTAGAATTACAGCCAAAGTGGAAAACTATTTGGCAGTTTATTTGAAGACTAAGTTCATATACTAAGTGTCTCTATCCTAGCACGTGCAGGGAAAGTGCTCAAGCACAGAGCTACACCCTCTGCCGATGCACCCTCTCTATATCCCATATCGTGTGTATATATCATATCCGTGACTGTCTAACCATCCTGCTCTCTTTCGGATAACCATCCAAAATTGTGAGAGGTAGGGTGGCTGCCAATATTTCATAACTTCTTCCTTAGGTATTATAGATGAACTTTTGTCTTTAAATGAATTCACAACCATTTCTATTTTCCAAGCAACATGCTCTACACTGACTCAAAGCAGAGGAGCTTGTGGTAAATGGAAACACACACACCCTCCACTCTTGAGTGTGGGAATGTAGTCTAGTTAGTCATGAGGTCACAGCACTTAAGTGCTGTTCTCCAAGCTGGGGACAGAAGCCCAAGCTTCATGTGGTTAATGGGCTTTGACCTGGGCCTGGGAAACACAGATATATGACCCCAGATAGAAAGCAGGAGTGTACTAGAATCTTCCTTTCCTCCCAAAATCTGTGCTCCTTCCCCATAGAGAGAAAACTTGAAGTGTAATGTGCCACATACCTGTCAGGTTCAACTTTATTTTACTTTTTGGTATTGGGGATTGAACCCAGAGCCTTCACAGGGAGCCACATCCCGGGCTCTTTCTAAATACTTTATTTTTTAAACAAGAACTTGAAATCCTCCTGCCTCAGCCTCCCAAAGTGCTGAGATTAATGGTGTCACTATGCCTGCCTCAGCTTCACCATTGCTGTTATTATTGTGTATATTATCCCCTCAATCCGTGCCTGTGGGTATCCTGTTAAACCCAGGTTTTCAAAACAATGTTTGTAACAGTACACTATGTCTTGAGACTGAAATACAAAGCCACAATTGTGTGTAACTCTGATATGATATTAGTGTTATGGTACATTTAATTGTTTACGATTAGCAGGGTGGTTCTGGAGTGACACAATGGAACAGAAGAGGGCTCTGGTCTAGGACTCAGCAGATCTGTGTTCTGGATTATTTTCTTCCATTCATGAACTCAGTGAACTCAGGCAACATTCTTTCTTTGGGTGCTCAGATTGATCCCCCATTTAGTGTTGTGGGGAATCATATTTATGGAAGTAGTGTAAGAAGAACATAGTAAATCCATGTGACAAGCACACACATGGAAGAGCAAGCAACAGCATTATCAGCAGGGTTTCCCAGTGAGCTACATCCTAGGGCCTTGTGTTGTGTGTGGGATAGGGTCCTGTTAAGTCACTAGCTTGCCCAGGCTGGGTTCAAACTTGCGATCCTTTTGCCCCAGCTTCCCAGAGAGCTGGACTTACATTTATGCACTTGTCTCAGTGATGCAGATTTGGAAAAGGAACCTAGCACAGCTGGCACAGCCTGCAGCATTCTGGAGATGGACTCTGCATCTGGCCCTGGGCAGCATCAGGAGGTGACTGAGGGAGAAAATGCAACGGGACTGCTCTGGACTCAATCTGGTGTTCTTGCTGGTTATGATTCCCCAGACCTCACACTGGGCAGAGCAGTTTCTCCAGTGAAGCCAGTTCTATAATTGATAATAACAGTGATACTACTGAAGTGATGCTAGGTTAATTGTATGTTTACATTGTTCATTAAGCAACTATTAGAAGCAGTTTGTAGGTATAACTCATACAACTCACCATTGTGTATTACATGCTATTTGTTTTAGTTACTTTTCCCATTGCTAGGACAACATACCTAACACCTACAATTTAAAGGGGGAAAGGCTGGCTTCAACTTTTAGTTTGTGGAGGTTTCAGTCCATAGTCGGCTGGCTTCAAGGCAGGGTGGTAAGGCAGAGGGGCATCACAGAGGAGAAACAGTCCATGGCAAGCAGGCCAGAGTCAAGAAGCATCAGACTTCCTTCTCTCCTTGGTACCACATCCAGGTTTCAAGCCTAGTTGGTGGTGCCACCCACACCCAGGGTGGGGCTTCTGTCTTCTGTAAATCCATTCATCCACACCTTCAACTACACTAAACCAATCAATGGACAAATCCAGGTATCTCACCCTTAATCCAGTATCCCATGGCCATAATCCAGCTTCCTCCATAAAGACCCATGTAGGAGTACTTGAGGCTTTGAGGGGGCATCTGGACACAGACCATGACACTATTATCTGCTCAAATATATAGACAAGAAAACAAGAAAAATTAAGTTAACAGCACAAATCAAAGACTACTAGGTGCTAAAATTAGAAATTTAATTCAAGCAGACTCTAAAGTCAGAAGTCATTTTCACTGTGTTATATAGTACACACACACAGGAATACATAGGTACAACCCTTGCCCAGAGACATGTTTTCTTTTTTTTAAATTTATATATTTATTGGTACATTTTAGGTATACAATACATTTACATTTATCATTGGGTGTTTGTACCTGAACATGATGTATCTCAGTTCTTATTTTTTCTCCCATTACCTGTGCACCCTTTACCCCCTCCACCCTTCCCTATTTAAATAGACTTTGATTCCATTTTTTTTCTTTCTCATAATTTTTCCTTTCCCGTCTTCCCTTTCCCCTTCCCTTCCTGCCACCCCAAACCCTTGGACCTTTTCCTATTTCAAATTATCAATTATTCATTTTAATCATTTTCATCCTTATTTACACTTTCAATTTCTCACACTAGAGAAACTATTCGATATTTACACATGTGTGTCTTATTTATTTCACTTAAGAGTATGGCCTC